AAAACTTTTTGAAGCATGTCAAAAGAGCAACTTGGACGATATTTTTCTTCAACTAAAAATTGGGTCAATCCGCAGTCGAGACAGCTCGACAAATTAACCAGGTGTGGGGGCCCAATAGTGTTGGAGAAAGCACCGTGCGACAATGGTTCGACAAATTTCGTTCTGGAGATTTCAGCCTTGAAGATGGAACCTCGTAGCCGTTCAAGCCTAAAGCAAACCTGACGAATCTGAGGCGTTTGTACAGGCTCATCCCAAAACAGTTCGAGAGATCGCAGAAAAGCTAGGCGTTGGCAAATCCACTGAAACATTTCAGAACTTCCTTGCTGGAAAATACTTCATCAATCAGGACCAGGCAAAAAAGCCTTCGTGGATTCTCGACCACCCAGTTTTTTCTTTGATGGGATTTATCGACTGGTGTCACATTGGCAAAAGTGTGCTGATCGGTGCTTATTTCGATTAAATCCGATGAGTATTAAGAAAGTTATGATCGTTTAAAGAAACACTCAAAACGCTGAGAACTTTCCGGACAACCTAATAGTAATTATCCGCAGGAGGACTCCACAGGACGAACTGCTCGACGGTGGCTTCCACACCACCACATATTCTTCAAACCCTTAAGATGCAATAGGCGTGGCTGCTTACTTCATCTGAACGTAGTGACGGCTTTTTTGGTGGGATATTCACATTTCAGGGCTGTTATAATCATGCGTCTGTCTAACAGAAGATGGCAGTTGTCTCATGAAATAAAGGATAAAGGATAAATTCGCCGTTAATCAATCCCTTTGTGGGATGCGGCACGCATTCTACTTCCATTCAGAATCGTAGTGGCTTATTGAATGCGATGTGGCCTATACAATGACTTGCGGGGGCCAGCCGATGTACAAGTCAGTGTTTTATCCTCCCAGACGAATCTGGTACCAATTTACCGTCCCCGGAGGTAGAAGGCTTGGTTGGCCTGGGCGGGTGTCGACCTGGGATTCGAACCCGGGACCGCGCGAGTGGTAAGCGCGCCACTTGTCACTACACCACCTCCGCCTTAAAATGAAATATCCCACGCATAACCAATGCTAGGCTGTGTTCAAATAAAATACGCAACCACGTATACCGCTTCTCAGAGGTAAGAAGAAAGGACGGTGCATGTACTGCATGGTTGCCAATGCGGCGGCTCGGCTATGCCCATTGGCACCATCGATACAGCCCCCCCCCTCTACACGTGTGTTTTCTAACTTATAAGAAACAAAAGACGTGACTGGCGATCAAGCGATATCCTTCGATATCGGTGTACGCATAATGGCATATCTGTTCGGCAGCTGGTGCTTTCGTAGCATTGATAAAGTAGATTCCACCACGCATAAGTTGCGGAATCCGCGCCCGGGGGTGGATCGTATTTGGCTCCTCGGGAGGGACTATTTACAGAGCACTCAGCAACAGCAGCGACGACGTCTGCAAGATACGTGATGTACACTTTAGTTCGCTGCGGACGGTTGGGCGTGTCAGGCAGTATGAGTGTTCACACCGTCGAAGCCGTTCTCTGCCTTCTTGTTGAAACGCGCATGCGACAAAAAGTGAAAACGAGTAATACGAAGGATATGATACAGTATTGTCACTTGCCCGCTTCAACAACTGATGGAGAACGAGTTTGGCACCGCGCCAAACGCAGCCGCACTGACACGCCCAACCGTCCGCCAGCGAACTACAGGGGGGGGGGCCAAAAAAAAGTCACTTTGCTTCATTGACTTTCGAGGCGCTATAAGTTACACTTTATAAATTCTGATCGGACATTTTTACCACCATATTGCATATTAAATACTATTATGACACTCCGCCACAGCCTTCTGGAGGAGCGCCATCGAGAGATTCTGGCACGCGACCGCGATGTGGTGCCTGAGATCAGCGAGATAGTCGATTTCTCCGCCACCGTAGACCACCCTATTGAACTCCGCCCGAACCGGGTAATTGAGGGGATTCAGGTCAGGTGACTACTATATATTCACATCTTCAGGTACGAAACGCCCTTCCATTCGAAGTAGGCGGGAGTTTTTCCAAAACCCTTCGATTCCATGTGGTGGCACCCAAACCTGTAGCAGCACAAGGTCTCCAAGAAGGTACGGGCGACCACATGTAGGGAGGATATCCTTCTCGAGTTACTTGATGTAACCGCCAGCGCTCACCTTCAGTCGGGGTCTACAAAGAAAATATCGGTCTTCCCCTTTCCAGGTACCCCGGTCCATACCATCAACTCGCGCCTCGGCGAATACGGTGAAGATGATGTCCTAGACCGTAGCGACGTTGCCGTAGCTGCTCGATGTGGGAGGTCTTGCAGATCAAGAGTACTGACCTCCAGGTAGCTATCTGTGGATGACTTCATTCAAGAAGTTTCGCAGCTGTTTGGAGGCGATTCCAAAGGTGTTCTCCAGTCAGGCCTGGAGATGACTTCATATTTTGGCGTACATGAAGGCGATTGGCGGCAGCGTGCTCCAGCTTATAGAGGAAGATCTTGGGTATCTTCCACTCTGGTACTCATATCCACTTCCCCTGTCTGGGCTGCGAAAACTTCGTTGATATGTGGCTCGGCCGAAATGACTTTTTTGGCCCCCCTGTACCTATATTCGAAAAGGAACCCAAGTGCATTGCGTGTTCCATGAGTGCTGATCAGCGCTTCTGTGCTGCAATTCCTATTCATCACATGACGAGGTGTACGGGAAGCCTACCGAGCCTTCTGGATGCTACTATGAGCTTTATAGACGGAGATCCTCGCACTGAAGCTGACTACTATAGCAAAATCCGTGACAGGTGAGTCTTCGCTATATTTTAACAACAGCGAAGATATTGTGCTTGTTAGGATCTCACTATATCATTTCTAAACGAGTTATGACCTTTCAAATGTGAAAAAAAATCGCGACTTTACCGTGCTAACACCGTCATTTCACACATCATGATGCTGTTGGACTCTGTGCTCTGAAGGGCAATTAGTGACACCCTTAGGACTTAGACAGCGCGATAAACCTCTTAGACGAGTAGGATTAATATGCCTGACAGGAACGGAATTCCGCGACCCTGAGCAGGCGCTGCGTGGCGCCTTTTCCCCTTTTTTCTACCCTTATAAGGTCCTATCAAGCTGCAACATACCGACCCTGACGCCCATCACGCCCGCCCGCCCCACGTACCTGTTGTTCGTATTGCTTCATTTGCGAAGTAAAATATGAATCGGAGGGATTGACATGAAGCGGACGGGGCGCTGGATACATGGGTAAACACAGCTATTATAGCAGTCATTGGAAAGATGCCTACGGGAAACTCGTCCAAAAATGCTTTTCGAATCATCAAGAGCGAGGCTTTTTCGCAGGTTTTTGACCCTTTTCACTTCGTTTTTTCGCTATTTTCCCTATATTCAGCTATAGTCAGCGCCCTGCTAGCATTTTGGGCCGAGTACCAAATTATCGTGCCAGCTGCCTTTAAATCGGTAGAGAGGCAAAAGCGCCCTGTAGTTTGTTGTTTATTGTTTCTATCTATGTCAAAGGCGGGACCAATAGGACATGTCCAATCAAATAGAATATAATTTATTTCATTATATTGCATAAGAAGACATAATTTTGAGCAATGGAAATCATTTCGCAGTAATATACGGAATATAAATGAAATGCAGGCACATTATTTACTGAAGAGAAGACAACTTGTAATTTGGTAGCACCAGAAACGAAAGCAAGAAAACACTCGTTCAGAAAAGAAACTAAGAATTTTTTAAGATAGGAACAGCGATTTGGGGAAAAAGTCCATATAGACATAAAGTGGTTGTCACTGAGATCAGTCGGAGCGCAGGTTTTGGCGCAGCACCAGCTCCTTCACAATTTGGGCGCCCGGGCGTTCAATGAGTGTGGCAAAGGGGTTGGCGTCGCGATAAATCCCACGCCCCGACTGATTTCAGTGATAATGACCGCAAGAAGAGGAGGAAATAACAGAGAGAACGAATGAGATAAAGTCACCTGGGAACGCACTGAACTCATGGAATACTTTTTAGGGGCCTTGTGAGGGTAGACAAGAGTCAGGACTACTGGCCAAATTGGACACTGTCTTATCCCTAGACATTAATGACACATGTAATAACAATATAACCATCAGAGGAACAACTAGCGTGTTAGGCAGTTGACTAGTGCACTGGTAAAAGGGGCGGGGCGTGCGGCGTGGGGTTATTGCTCTTGGTCACTGTCGTAGACCACTGACACCACCAGATTTTCCATCGCTCGACCCAAATCATCGACGGTGGCTAGAAGAGATTGCATTCGAGTCCCATGAGCGCCTGAGGCGTCAGCAATGCCGCCATCGTCGTCGTCCCAGCCGGCGCCGGGTCGTTCAGCCGCTCTGGACCGAGCTGCCTCGTAAGCGAAACGATCATCGGGAGCGGCACCAAATGGAGGTTGTGATCGTCGCTCTGCCCACTCGCGATCGGCGCTCCATTGACGGGAGCCGTTCTCTTTTTGCTGAAATTGCAATAATTATTCGTACTTTTCCGATTATGACTATCTGAGTGTTTGGGGCTGCGTTCATACCTTGCAGCAGCGTGTACTAGCGTTCCGGCAGCGTCAGCGACTGGGAAAGTATAGATATCGATCTAGCCGCTGCACGCGTCTACGAGCGTGCACCGGCGTCTCCCAGCGTTCGTCAGCGTCTACCAGCGTGTGCCAGCGTCCGCCAGCGTCCAGGAGAGGACAGAATGGCGTGATAGGAGGGTAGCAGACAGCTAAAGATAGGAGGGTGGCACCCTGCTGGTAGAGAGTATGGCGCGATAGGAGGGTACCAGCTACCTGCTACCCTCCTATCGCGCCATTCTCCCCTCTCCCGTACCCTGGCAGACGCTGGAGCACGCTGGCACACGCTGGTAGACGCTATATCGGTACCTATACCAGACACTCGGACGCTGGTAGACGCTGGCGGACGCTGGTAGATGCTAGATCCATATCCACACTTTTCCAAATGCTGACGCTGCCGGAAGCTCGAAACACTTAGACGCTCGAAACGCTGCCGCAAGGTATGAACGGAACCTAACTTTCTCAATGACCTCCCCAGTAATAGGTGAGTTCGAGGCATGGTTCTTATGCTAACTTGAAGCCGTTAGTTGGCTCACCAACAGAAAAAAAAGGTAGAAAATTATCGAGAACACCCTGCACCCTTGCAGCAGTACTTGCAGCTTATTTTGAGCAGTTGGAAGATTATGCGAAGAAGCGAGACGCGAAGAAACACTGGTTGCGCGTGCGAGAGACCAGCATGAACGATGAGGAAAATAGTAGAAAGACGAGTACCAGAATACTGCTTTCGCCAATGGTGTTCACCCCTCTCGGTGTTGCCGCTGTTACTGAGTGAACTTGCCACGGCGAAATGCGGCCTCGCTGAACAACCTGTGCGTTCATACTGAGCATCTTTTGGAAAGGGTTTGGAAGGGGGGGGGGTCTATCGATTTGCCCCAGAATCTACTGCTGAACCTCTCGAGCTCACCTGTTCAATAACTTTCTTCAACCGTTGTAATTGCAACTCAAGTTGTTCGTTTTGCTGTTCCAGTATTCGTGAGCGATGTTCAAGCCGTTGCTTATGGAGTCGCAGAGCTCGAGCTTCATCCATCACCTGAATATGTCCACCTCGATTACTGCTATTATTTTAATTTTTGATCAGATAAATAGTACGCTTTCGGGATCACTGGCCAAATACATGCAGGCGTCGATTAAAGGTAGAAAAGAAGGAAAAGAGTTGCTTGCAAGGAATTCAAAGAATACAGAAATTATGGAAAAGTTAGAGGTTTCCGCAATAAAGGGGCGGAGTTTCACATGAGGCTCCTCTGACCCTGATTGGTTAAAACCTATGCTTCCACACCATATGACGAGGGTAACCTAACTGAAACCTCTTGAAAAGGCCTTCTAAAGTCTCGTATAGAGCAACACGCGGTACTACTCGATGACAATTCCCCTGTAATTGATGGGTGGAGACTGCCAACCACTGAGCTTTTCTCATTAATGCTCCCTCCTTGTGATACGGTAGTGCCACAGCGATGAGCAAGTTATGAGGCTCCGCCGTAGCATTATCGCGTCTTGAAAAAAGGGCAGGGTTTGAATATGGTCACAGAATTCATTGATAGGGTAGAGCATCGATGTGTGAAAACACATGGGGGAGGGGTCGTACTTCCACCCTCCCCCCCCCCAACAGGAAAGCTCTTGGGGAAAAGCAGGAAAAATCTCGGAAAAATCCGGAAAAAGTGGTAGAAAGTTGAGAGAAATCTGAGAAATTTTTCTCGCTGCTTCCCCCCGCGTCACATGTGCTATTTACCCTACTAGCTCGAAGGAAAATTTTTGGGTGAAAAACTAGTAGGAGGGTGGGAACTTGTAAGAAAGTGGTAGACCCTCTTTTGAGGGAGAGGGGGTCGTTCTGACACCACCATTTCACACAATACGATGCTCTGCCCTGTTTATTGAAGCTTTTCACGTAGGCAATCGTACAGTCGTAAAAAATACAAAAAAAATCATAACCGGACCCGCAACATATACCTAGTCTAGACGGAGGAAAAAATACTATAAAAATAAAAAAGATGAGTAGAAAGAGCAACTAACATCGCTTTGACTTTGCGCACTTTTCAATGAAGGAACACTTCGCCCCTGTTGGGAGTGAGCAGAAAGTCGGGGAAGTGTTGCTCCTCGTCCTTCACTTCGACGTCCCGGCGAGTTAACTCTGGAAAGAGTAAAATGAAAAAACGAAAAAGATACATGAGAAAACATAAATAAAAATTGTTAAGGTCAGTAATTTATTCAGTGACATTCGACGAAGAATAATGCCTCCCCCTCAGGAACACGCCACGCCTTCGACGCGAATGAGGCTTCCAGGGATACTCACTTTATTTTATCACTCATTTACTCATATTTGTTCGCCCTCAAAGAGGTATTTGATGAAGTTCGTTGAAAAACAGGGGGTAAAAGGACCAGGGCTATCGGTTGAGGATTTCGGTCGGGCCCATGCGATACGACTCACCCCTGATTCCTTCCTCATCGAGCTGTCGAGCGAGAGGGGGGGGGGGGGTAAACAGCACATGTGAGACGGGAAAAGCCGAGAGGAAAATACCACTCCCATCTCTACCATTTGCTTAGATTTTCCCCAACTCCTAGTTTTTCGGCATTTTCCGGAAATATTCCTACTTTTCTCCAAAAATTTCGCAGGGTGGGGGAGAGGGGGTATATAGTACACATGGAACAGGAAAAATCCCGAAAAGCCGGGCAACCTCTTTCAGAAGCTCAGAAGCAGAATACGTAACGATAGGGATAAGGATAAAGTCTTTCAATCCCAATCCCTTTGTGGGATGCGGCACGCATTCTACTTCCATTCAGAATCGTAGTGGCTTATTGAATGCGATGTGGCCTATACAATGACTTGTGGGGCCAGCCGATGTACAAGTCAGTGTTTTATCCTCCCAGACGAATCTGGTACCAATTTACCGTCTCCGGAGGATAGAATGCTTGAATGGCTTGGACGGGAATAGACCCGGAATTTGAACCCAGGAACGTGCAAGTGGTGAGCGCGCCACTTGTTACCATACCTCTTCCGCCTCAATAAAGATTATAACTGTAAAATTGATTTATTTACACTGCAGGAAGAAAATTTCTGAACCTGTCACTTCCACTAAAGAATCGCAGTGTTCAGTGATGTCGAACAACCCTCTTCCAAGTGCGGAACTCGTCATGTAGCAACCCCACTTACTGGTTAGCAGTTCTTTTGAGAGACATTGCCCTTCTCCCCAACACCAATCAAATTCTTCGCCTAACCAAAGTGGACCGGTTCAGGAAGGCAGCTTTTATTGCCATGCCACATTCACTAATGTTAAGGAGTTCCTCAGACATTCTGAATCGGTTGGCAGGCAAAACCCAGCCTGGCAAAGGCACAAGGCGTTATATTTGACTATACTTATGAGGTCAAACCCTAGCACAGGGGAAAGAAACCCGCCGGCAGAGTCGAAGTGTGAAGTCTACGGAGGGGCATTTTGCACTTTTACTAGCTCCTTTTGTTACTTCATATCAACTAACAGGTCCTACTTTGGTGAGACTTGTGGGTTTAAAAAAAGCTGTCGTCTGAAGCTATGTTGAAGAGGGCGAGTGAGTCATTTCACTTTCTTTCTGATGATCTTTCAACCGTGAGTATTCAATTCAGCGCCCCCAGCACCACCCAAATTTGCCTGAAGCGCATGGCAGCAGTGCCATCTCAGCTGAAGTGATCGTTGGCAAACAATTCCAACGGGAAACCTCTCTAAATTATGCCAGTCGTACTGTCCGAGAACTGTCCTGTTAGTCGTACTGTCCAAATGTGTCGTACTGCCTTTTACAGGCTTTCAAGGGTCCCACGTACTCTCCCCAATTTGAGTACTGAATTATCGGTTTATGCTTACACAGACAATTTACCAGTTTAGACAAAGTCTAGTTTCAAACAGATGGTGGGGGGAGTAAGGCCGCCATTCAGCTATTTGTGGTGCATTCCTCCGTCTACATAGTGTCCTTTTCATAGGCAACGCGCGGTAGAGGAAGCTCCAGAGATACGCAGTCGCTCGTTTCCCGCAGTCGAGTTACCATCTGGGTAATATCGCTTCCGATAAATAGCCACTGCATGTTCTTTTCCCTTGTAGCTGAACGTCTTCACTACAGCCGAGCTTGTCCATGGCCTGAAAATGCGATCACGCTTATTTGGGACTATTTTATTGATGGTTTTCTTCGGGGTTCTAGCTATACCGGTGAGTTCTCTACTAACCCACAAATTCATTACTTGAGCCCCGCTCCCCAACCGCAATAGCGGAATGTGCCCTTAAACACGCTTCCCTTCCATGTTGAATGAACCGTTTCATGAAATGAATGAAAAAGTAGTAGATAAAGCGAAATTGATCCCCTCTCTGTAAAAAAAAAGAAAAAAGAACCATCAAAGGTGTCATCCAAAGTTTGTGCCTCTCAAGCGACAAAGGAGAGAAGCGTCACAAAAACCAAACGATCCAAGTCCGTGTACTGGCGGCACAGCGTTTTTCGTCGTTCCAACTCCCGTTTCAATTCCATGTTTTCGAGCTGCAATCGTTGTAAAACTTGGTCCAGCTCGTCCTTCTGCATTTGTTCTACCTGCAAAAAAAATCTATATTTGAGTTAAAAACTCGTGAACAAGTGACTCACAACATTTTCCTAATTTGAGTCGGAAAATGACTTCGGTAATTCCATGCCGCATGAATTCGCAGCTAACTCAATGGCTAGCCAACTCCAAGCAGCAAGAGTGTTACTGGCGTCACGGGCACATGATGGTTGGGGATTCTGGTCGAATAATGTTAGCGCCCCCTCCCTAGTTCCTTCCCTCTGATCTGCTGACAAGGATTGGAAGCGTCGAGAGGCAGGGGAGGGGAGGGCAAATGGGTAAACAGCACATATAAAATGGCACATATGAATCAGGAAAGTCAGCAAATTTGAAAAAAAAAGTTGAAAAAGGGAAAAGTTTTTCTCAAGCGCCACACTCTGCAAAGGCGAACACGACTCCCTCTCTCTCCCAACAATGAGTAGTACAATCCCCCCCCTCATATTCGTGCGTCAAACAAGCAAAAATCGACTACAAAAAAAGTTCTCTAGACCGTATATGACTCCAGTACCCCAATGACCAAATACAACCGCCCTGTTAGGGAAACCCAACGGCCACACGAATGGATGTACCTGACTGCGTAACCAACCGGAAGTGAAGATGGGATTATCGTTTTGGAACAACTGTACTCATGTCTTCGTCCAGTACACGATAGAATGACAGTTGTCCCAAATGGAAATGCCTCAAGCGCATCATACCAGTTGTCAAATGAAGTACGCAACCACGCCTCTTCCATCTTCGGGATAAAAGAATAAAAAGGATAAAGCCTTCGCCGTTGAACCAGCCCCTGCGGCACGCATTCTATTCCCATTCAGAATCGCAGTGGCTTATTGAATGCGATATGAACTATACAACTACTTGCGGGATGGCCGATGTACAAGTCAACCTTATTCTCACCTCCTTAGACAAATCTGATACGCCAAGTTACTGTCTTGGTGGCGTTAAGAGGATTTGTTGGCCTGGCGGGAGTGCGACCGCCGGGGGATTTGAACCTAGGACCGCGAGTGTTTAAGCGCGCCCTTGCCCTCCATCCTTGTCACTATACCAGCTCTGCTATACGGGTCATATAGGCAAACGAAACGGGAGAAGCTAGGTAAACCACCAAAAACATTTTTTTTTACAAGTGCAAGTGCGATCCCATCCTAGCGACCAAATATGAACGGCCCCCCACCCCACACTAGCTAGGGACCCAACGTACGACGTGCTTTGCTTACAAGTAATTAAGAGTAATAAAATTTTATCGAGCACAGTTTGATGCTCTCAGCAAGCCGAAATTGCTGCAGCATAAAGTAAAACAAAGCAAGAAACCGAAGCTGTGAGCAATTTTTTAGCCGGCCGCGTGGAACGGTTTGAACTCCTAACCATTTTTTTCACGAGATATCCATTTTTTTTTTTTCTTTGCCGGATAGAGAAGGGAGATAGTGACCTTTATGGAATGGGTGCCGCCTTTGACAAGAAAGGACTGATTAGCGAGTGATTTAAGGCACAAACAGAAGAATCTTTCACTTCCTCCCCCCTTTCTAGCGCTAGTAATTCCGAATAATCCGATGGAAATTCCTGCATTCACGTAAGGCTTGCGCTTACCACCCTCTCTCTACCTCTCAAATTCTACACTGACGCTTATCCTTCTTTTTCTTCTTCTTAGTCGTTGATGGTGATCGTAAAAGGCGAAAGATATTGCACATAGCCATCGTGGTCAGGGATAGGATTTCAGGCCATAAAACAGTAGCGTAAGTAGTTCCACCGTGGTAAAATAGTCGAGGCAGGCTAAAGGCGGGACAGAGACGCGCCAACGAGTTGTCGTCGCTGTCTAGTAGTCTGTATATGCATTGGGGCGTATCATTAACGTGCGGCAGCCCTCTGTCTCTCAAGGACATTCACATCGCAATACTTTTAAACGACTCACTGCACCGTTTGAATTTCGATCCCTTCCACATACAATCTATGGTATTGATCGGTAACTTGACTCATACTGAAGCGTTCTCCCGAATGATATGAAGAATTAGTGCACTGAAAGCGAGGAAACGATGGACGCCATGACCATGTATTGTAGGGAGTTAAGTGCACATGTATTGTTCTTTAGGCGGCGATGCGACTTGGTAAGTTGACCGTAATGAACCAGTTTTCCGGCTGTATAGAAACATTGTGCTGATGAATGATTATTAGGTTGAAATGGGTCATAAATTCGACATAATGGGGTCAGTCTGCGGAGGTGTTAATCATTGAGATTAGTACTATTTTTAATCGCCAAATTTTTGTACCAAAATCCACCGCAAAAGACTTTGCGATACGGTTTGAAAGCTTTCGCAAAATAGACCCTCAAAATTGGTGTCTTAATCAGGCAGGCAGCAGTCCTCACGAACCAAATTGGCTTCGACGAAAACACGTAATGAAGAGTCAAAAAAAGGAAGTCTACGAAAGTTGAGCTCGTATCTGACCTGATTAATCAGCTGGGCAGGACTCTGGACATCTGCCAAACGCTCATCTAACGGTTCGGCTGGCTCGCGCCCGAAACGGTGAGTTCAGCGAGACGATGAGCAATCGCAGCCGATCGTTGATGTAACGCCTCGGTGGCAGGATTTCGAACGGCCGGTGGAGCGATTGTCAATGGACGGCCTTCATCGCCGACCTTAAACAAAACAAGTCAATAAATCAACTAGTTAATAAGTAAATAAATAGAGAAAATGTGTACGGACTCAAATAGATAGATAAATGATACATTAGAAATGTGACTAAGTATATAAATATCAAGGTATATATGGTGTAAGGGGAGACGGACAAGACAATCGTAAGTTGATCGCGTGCGATTATGCGCGGCAAATTCTCGATGTGCCTCAGTTTGTCGATCGGAGCAGCGAAACTCATGTGAATTCAAACAAAGGCAAGACTCCATAAGAAGCGATATGAATTTCCCCATCTCTTTGACACCCATACCCAAACGGTCAGGCAAGGCGCGGCGTCGCTTGCCACGCCCACCGACGCGGAGTATTCCGATTGTCTTGTCACATACCCTGTCATGTGCCCAGGGAGGGTCAGGGAGGACCAATGACTGAGCACTTGTGAGAAATTGGAAAGTGGGAGTTACTTTATTCACTTCAGGGCTCCCTAACCCTCCTCCCCTCAAAATTGTGCGGACTACTAAGACTGCTAGGCTGACGCAAAATTGCAGACTGGCCCTTCGCGAGGTAAGTAGCGGCGTACTAGTTGATGATTAGTAAAGCAGACACCAACTATCAACCTAATAGCAAACTTTGGAAGGAAGGTGAAAATCTGTTCCCATTTAGAAGAGAAAATTTTTTGAACAGTTTCAAAAATATACCGTCAACAGAAAAGAATTCTAAACAAAACTGGAAGTACAAAACTCACATCTACTGGTAAGTATCCGAGACTGCTCTTACTTCGCGAGAACTTATTTCGAACCATTCGAGCAAAATCTCGAGCGTCCTCAGAGGAAGTTGTCTGAAAAGTGGTCTTCTCGCTTTGAGATCACTTAGCTGTGAAAGAAATTTTAATGACTTTTAGCAATTCAAAGGACGGTCCAGGATGGTCGTATGGGTGGAGACAGCCAACCATTAATCCTTCTTTCTGGCCTGCCTTTGCACCGTCCCAGAAAAAGAGTACAACAGTAAAGAAGGCACAAAATTGACTGTCTCCGCCCACATGATCAACGAGGAACGCGTTCTAGACCACAGTTCTATTTTTCTTGCCAATAGCTCTCTTCCTAGTCTTTTTTGAGGGTTTCGTGGTCTTCCTAGTAAGTTAGAAAGCTAGAACAATTCGGAGGGTCACATACCGGCACAGCGTATTCCTGCATTGGATGTTTCAGTTTATGTTTCTTCGCTGTTCGTTGGCTGAAGAAGCAGTTCTGGCACAGGTCCAAGTTGAAGCAACGCAGACATCGATATCGTAGACCGATGATCGGGAACATTTTGCACACGTTACATTTCGCCTGGTGTTTGGCGAATTCAGCAGTTGCCAACCGGTGCATTACCGGTAACCACACAATGCTTTGCGGTTCCTGTTTCAACCATTCCAGGAACGGCGTCACAGCGATCGTCGGCGCCAGACGCACCGTCTCGAAGCATGAACGCACCGATGGCTCGACGTTCGAGCCACCGAATGCGGCCGCTTCGCCGACTAGTCGCGGAATCTGAAAACATTACTCCTTGTTACTTTGAAAATTTCAGCCTTCGTTTAGATTTAGCAGTACTCATTAGAGTTTAGTTAATTAGTTAGCCTTAGTCATGAAGTACAGTCAAGTCTAGTATTAATGAAAGCCATGTAGCGGCGCCTGTTCGGCGACGAGGGGCTTCATTTGCCACTTTTACTGCTTCACTATTCCGGCTACTAGTACTCACCTGTCCGGATGAATTGTGAACTGTTTGAAAAACTGGGCAAGTCGGCTTCCGAAGCTACCATGATAAGATCTTCAAAACTTTGTAAGCGCACATGAACTAGCCTCTCTAGATGAGGTTAGAACTTACAAAGGTGCAAACTGTCCCCCCGGCGCTGCGTGGTGCCTTTCCGACCCAGGGTGCAACATGCCGACCCAGACGCCCACCGCAACAGCCGCCCACAAATGGCCGCACACACATCGGACTCTGGCACTCTTTGTTGCTTTATTTATTGAAGTGCAAACTGAATGAAGCGTTAGTATACAGGAACGTAAGATGCATGCATGCAGCCATGCCTATCAAAGGAGATGTTGGCACGATGCTAACGGGAAACTCGTCCAAAATGCTCGTCCAAAGCCGCGCGAAACGAAAGCTTTTTGCAGGTTTTTGGCCGTTCGACTTCGCTTTTTCGTCATTTTCCCCACTATATAGTACCCCTGCTGCTATTTTCAAGGGAGGACTACAAACAACAAAGACGTGAGAAAAAAAGGAAAGAGCACTCACCTGGATAAGGTCATAGAGCAGAAGAGCGATGTGCTTCTGATCAGCCAGACCATCTTGAGCAACCAGATCGAAGATGACTAAAATGACTAAAATTACATTAAATTCCAAGTAACTATAGCCATTCAAATTCAGTTTGCTTGGGCTCTTTGACGGCGAATGAGGTAGTGTACTGATGAGTAATGCCATTTTCTATGCAAAAGGTCCGATGGTCAAAATAAGGGGTGAATCCCACCTCCTAAACCTGACCACTTCTACTGAGCTTTCCGCCCATCGGCTGGCTGGGACGGGACCCATCTGAAAGGGTAGAACCCCTGGCATACATCGTCCAGCCCCACAGGTCATCCACTGTATGGGTCAAGTCGCACTCAAAACCCACTACTTCTCTGTATAGTGTTGAAATGCGTGGCTTATCCCGAGAAGGAATTGCGAGTCTTCATCATTTCAAGGGGCCGCGGATGCAGCGGCAGGAAGTACAGCGAAAGTACAAGCGTGATTTCAATGCAGCACGCTGGACAGCGCCCAGTACCCGCTCGAACTTCTCTGCCTCCGAGCTATCGTATTCACTGGCTTCAAAGGAATTACAGGAGAAGGTCCAATCCCAGCAATCTCTGATTTAAAGGCTGGTGGCACGATAAATCCCCAAGACGTGTAGGATCAATACGCCTAGCAGGACAGAATTCGGCGCTCCAAGCAGGCGCTGCGTGGCGCCTTTTCCAAAAAACCCCTTATAGCGCACATAACGACCCGGATGCACCGCCCGCGCCACAAATGTCCGACATATCGCTGGACGGTTAGTGATCGTCTCATTTGCGAGTATAATATAAGCCAAAGGTTGCTAGAGGCGGCTGGTGTTGCTCCATGCGTAATGTACATGCAGCCATGTCTAGCTGCGAGCGGCTGCTGGCATGACGCCAAGTGGAAACTCACTCGATTCGCTTTCTGACTTGGTGTAAAGCAAAGGCTTTTGCTGTGTTTTTGACGCGTTTCACTTCTCCTTTTTTGCTCATTCCCCACTTGATATCACTCTTACTCACCACTTTATGACCTGAGTACCGTATTATCCTGGCCTGAATGCCTCTTAAGAATCCTGGTCACGGTAATTTTCAACTCTACATTCTATTACTTGTCTTCAATGGAGCTGCTGGACATACATATCCAGTGCCGTTTTGAATGAAAGCACTACGATATGGATTCCATCTCGGGACCCTGCAGAGATATTATGTATACTTTTTGGATAGATAATTTTTCAATCCATTGCAACCACGATAACTCACGGATCGAAGAGGTTCAACAAGAAATTTAATGCACAGATCGACCGCTAAAGCGACACTTCGGACCATTTGAGGGTGTTTTGCGTTGAGTTGTTCGAACAACGGCAGAATGCTGGTGACCATGCCTTCTAGACCAGGCAACTCTTCATTCGACAACCCAGCAAGACGAGAGAAGCACTAAAAATACAAATTACGATGATTTACAGGCAAAGTAGACGCTATGTATAGATTCGCCGAATCGGGTAGTAGCATCAAAAGGATTGAATCCAGTGGGGGAGGGGTGAACTGAGCCCTTTTCTCTTTCGGGAAGGACCTATTTCTATCGGGATAGAAACAGGTCCTTCCCGAAAGAGAAAAGGGCTCAGTTCACCCCTCCCCCCACTGGATTCGGAATATAGGTGCCAATGTCTCTATGTGCTCTGCTCCTCGCCACCCCAGTGAACAAGTATGGGAGCTGTGTAACCTTCAAAGTACCCGTGGTCTCAGAGGTGAAAGTCGGATTCCTATGATATGGACCAACTTCGAGAACTCTACAGGCGTGACAAAAGCGATTTCTCAGATAAGATCTGGACTGCACAGATTGTCACCTCTAAAGCAAATTATCGACGAGAATCTCCAGCGAGGAGGGAGAGGGCTTTTTTAACACGTTAGAGGAACTAGGCCCGTATATAGCTCGCTGAGTTTTTATTTCTTTTTGCAACGCGCTATTTATATCCTGGCCGGCAGAATGGGTCACCATATGCTGATTGGTAAAATTGTATCGTGCTAATCAGTCGGGGCGGTACAGAGAGATATGGAAAGAGACTACCGCAGCGTGTTCAATCACGGTGTTCACCTTTCGAACCGGCTCTCTTCTGATGTTGGCATCACTATTGGTAGAAAAGGCAGCCGGGGCGGGCTCATTCCGCTCCTCTTGACACCGCTCCGACAACTGCGACGATATCAACTATATATAACCTCTCACGATGGAGAATTGGGGATGTTAGAGGAAATGAGGAGGGTGAATAGTGGCTCATGTAGACAAACTTCCTTTTCGTGATGATGCGCTCTGCTCCCATTCTCCGCACCACAATTATAACATTCTCCCAACTTCGCCAACCGCAATTATGTGATCGAGCACGATTTTCATTCGACTGGCCGATGGGATAATTAGCACCGGTCCACACGATCGCGCTAGATGCCCCAACAAGGGGTTTATAGCTGATATCGATGCAATGAGTCGGGGCGGACACGGCTGCTTTTTCTATCATAAGTGATTGGTTAAGGATCGATTCAGAAGAAAAAAAACCCATTGGTCAAAAACGGAGCTCCATGCCTCCTGCCCCCCCCCCCCTTCCGACGATATAACTGTAAGAGCACCGAGTTTCACGTTCACTCTCCACGTCGTTTGGGAGTACGTTACAAGAGCCTCCTGAACTTACTTTTTCCAACATCGGAATGTCGACAAGATCGAGGCAAAGTCGCTTTTGAAGCGCCCGAAGTTTCATTGCCGTTCTGTATGCAATGAATTTCACTCGATTGAATTGCGACAGCTCCTTTGCCATTTCCACCCACACTGGATGTTCCCATTGCGTCTTTTCAGTGGTGTGACTGAAAAATAGTTGGAAATAATTTCATCGCCATAAAAATGTAATGAAAGTTGTCTTACTCGATGTAAGTACGGTAGCTGGATTGGTTTTGGAGATGGCACGTTGCCAAGGCAGTGACACACTATGGTTGAGGAAGTGCTCTGATGAAGGTCCAAAGTCGGCAAGGGCGTTTCGTAAAGCGGCAGTTCGTACACGAAGAGCCGTTTTCAGGGCCATAAACCTGAAATATGGCACACTGACTTTACTGCACGGAAGGAAGGATAACTAA